CTCGAGCTGAATAGAAGTTCAATGGTCTGGTCCTTTTCACCATTCTACGACCAATATACCTGATCAGGTCCGATGACATATGGAGTTAGGCCGCCGTGTTGTTTTTCTCGAAATACCGTCTGCTGGTTCAATCTCGTGTTGTCCCCCATGGTGGAATACATGCAGCGTTATACGAGAACTCCACCAAACAAAACAGGTCCGCAATACAAGGACGGCCACCTCAATGCACAACACGAGGCAGAGTTTGTCGTTTTTGTGGGCCATGCGTCAGATTCCATCCATCTCGTTGGCTACTTGAGCCTTCTTTAGTCTCCCAGCCTTGGGTGGAACCCTGAGTCACACCCAGTTGACTGATGGATAGACTTTTTGGCTAAATTCACATGTTGGGCTTTACCATGAGTCGTGTCGGAGGAATCTGGTTGGGTGATCGGACTTTGTTCCTCTCGGAATGCTCGATTCGGTAAAGTTTACCACCCTCCTCTGGGAGCCTCTTCCTAATCATTAAATACAGTTCACGTACAATCAATGGCCGGTAGTGAAAGGACCCGAGCTACGGCCCACTGCGGCTATACCAAGTAGAAGAAACCACCACTCTGGAATGGGGGCCAATTTCAATCTATCGTGAACCCGTCATGGAGAGATATAAGCTCGCACATGAAGTCCGCTTTGATTCATCGATCTTTCTACCAACTCTGTCGTATATATCGACGACTCTACCAGGCCGCGACGGAGAAAACCTACTCGATGACTTCGTTAGGAGGGCCCACCACCCTCAGGATGATCATCCCAGTCCTGACGGTATGTACTCCATTGTTCCCTCTTTGACAAGTAGCGAGAGTCTTGCTGACCTCTCATTTGGTGCCTGCACGCCTCAGCCCCGCAGTAACCCTTGTCTTGTCAGCCAGGTACTGCAGCACCAGATTCCAAGTGCCAACCTTACAACCTCGAACTTCATCTCCAACAATAATGCCCTCTCTCCTCTCGTTGAGGTCCTCGCTACCACCACCCCTTCGATGCACGGCCGCGCCGTCTTCCAATTCACCCAAGAGCAAGAAATAAGAGCGCTCATGGACCACTACAGAACCACATTTCTGTACCATCTCTTCTTAACCCCTTCATCCGCTGACGTCGATATCCCAACCATTGTCGCTGTGTTTTGGCTTGCTCTCGAGCCGGCGGAAAGGAGAGATTGGGAGGAGTTGGCACGCGACATTTGTAGCGTTCATGCGCAACTCATTGATTTGTTTGGTAACGGCGTCATATTTGACGGAAATCTTTGGGAGGAGAGGAAGCGTTATCACGTACGAAGCGTCTACTTGAAGTGGGTGGGTTACCAGGCCCTTCATCGACTCGACATCAATGTCGACCCGATCTCTCATGTATCTCAGGGCACAGTTGGAATGGTGAGGGTTGTTTTGTTGACATGTTGATTGCAATCTGACTGTTATCTATCCACAGAGATAGCACGTTCGTATACACAGGGACTTACCAAAGTTCTCTCTTCAACTATTCACCCTTGTTTTACCGCATCCGTGGCCACTATACGATGCACCTCGATCTTTGCATTCTTGCCTGGAGGGTAGACTCGACGTTGAAATTCTTTTGTCTCTCCTGTTCTTATAACACACTTTCGATATTATTGAAATCCTTCGTTTGATGATTGCTCTCAGTGACGCTAATTCCAGACTAAAGTTCGAGATAAAGACTCGATAGGTAACACCGCCACTGGCCCTTCTCAAGTTGATCTTGGACACTGCAACCGAGATACGAAAGAGGATATATGAGATATAAAGGGTCTTTTTCTGCATTTTAATGCGCCCATTTTGCTGATGCACTCCCATACGATATGCTCGCCTCACAGTTTCACCGGCTTGCAATAACCTGCGATATGGAACGTATGATTCTTTGAGAGCCTCATAATGGTCCAGAACTCTGTCACTGGTCCATGGGGTGATGATACACAGGGGTGAAATATAAGACTATGACATGAACATCGTCTCCGTCTTGATCAATTATAGAACGTCAGTTCGACTTCAGATAACCCCCCATTGATTCGGCTGTCCCCGTGAAGGGCTGCTCTCACTTACCAATGTAACCTATCGGTGGATTTGAGTCCGAAGTGCCACGCCGTTTCAATGCGGCGAAGTGTTGGTATCGGTCGGGCATTATCCCAATTAAGGTGCAGCCGTCTGCCAAACACACCCATAGAGGGCGTCCTTCTCAAAGCCACGTCCCTGGGCGTACTCTCAAATTCAAATGCTTGCTTTGACGTACCCTAAATGACCAATCCATTCGTTATGTGTGTCATTCCCTGGCTCCCCAAAGGGCCTAATCTCGAATGTCTGGTTGAGCACGTACGATATTCGTGCTCAACCCTCCATGAATCTTTCCCGCGTTTTGGGCCCTAGTGCCTCATTGGGCCAAAGAGCCGGTGTTGCGGGTGCTATAAGCCTACTACAAAGAGATTTTGAAACGTAGGTTTCCCAGTTGAGGCACTAGTATTTTGTCACTACCGCGGGGTTGTGTATGTGGCGTTCCTTACCTGAATTACCCCGCGTGAATACCGCTCGTTTGCCCGTCCACTGGTGTACTCGTGTATCATCCTCCAATACATACTTATGACATGACAGAAAGGTTCTTAACAGAAAAGAGACAGAGCTTTGAAATTTTACCAACTCTTGATTACCTGACTTCCATTTTCGATTTCAAATCCCGTTACCGAACTAATTGGGACAACCGCGCGAAATAACCAAGCACGCAGACGAAGAAACCAGATCACGAGTAGAGTAGTTATAATCCCCTAACTCCCAACTGCCATCTACCATCAAACCTAACGAATTCATGATTGACTCTCAACTGGCCCTAAGGGCGAATATTCCAGTCCTCACGGTACGTGATCACATATAGACGGGGAATTGTCATTCCTCTACCTCAATTCCATCAAATACGCTGAGATTTTGAACCACTTGCCCCATTAGCCTCGTAACAACCCTCATCTTGTACAGCAATTCCTATTGCGACATATACCAGAGGCCAACCCGACCGGAACAAACACCCTTTCGAACAATGATACGCTCTCTCCCTTGATCTATGCCCTGGTTACTACTCCATTCTCCTCACACAGTTGGATCGTCTTTAAGTTCATGCAGGAACAAGAGTTAAGAGTAGCTGCGAACGTTAATGCTGACGCCGTTGATTCTGCCTGTCTGAACCTGTTCAATTTCCCTCCTTTCTCTCAATTTGCGGTCGATACGTCGAGAGCCGTCGCACAGTTTTGGACGAGCCTCAATGAAATGGAGGTGGCCGAATGGGAAGAGCTGGCGCGCGACATCTCAGAGATGCACACTCGTCTTGTTGCCCTGTTTGGAAACGGTGTCGTATTCGATTGGAACGCTTGGGAAGCACAGAGACAATACCATGCGCGGACCATTTACCTAAAGTGGACGGGCTCCCAAGCTATTCACGGCGTAAGTAGAGCAGATGACGAATCAACAACATACTACACAGAAAATTGATCGGGGATTTGTGGATTGATATGTGGCAAATGCTGAGATCTGATCCGTCATTTGCCTTCAAAGCAGGAGACGGCTATGTGATCGTCCTTAATCATGTATTATTTCGCCATTGATCAAATATTTCGTACCATTTCTTGTTAATATGAACACCTAAAATAGCTTGAAATCTTCACAATCGTCGGAGATGTGGTTTTCGCTGGGCTTGTCAACGTAATTGCCAAATAATCGGCACATATTGCTGCATTGTTTTGTTATATGAGCATAAAATTAGGAGTATAATGAACTCACCAGAGCGAAAGCGGCACCAATAACCGGGTTGGTTATGGATCAACAGTCTTTTCTCGCTATACTCGAGTCATCAGTTGGAGCCGCATTCAAACCAAATGTCCCTTTGTCAGATGAGATGCGAAAGAAGGGATAAACCTCATGATAGGATTACATCAAGCAAAGGTTTGTGCGTCACCACGGACCACATCTCCGATTCCGCACTTATTTCCTATATGCACCTATTGTTTAACTAGATGTGCACATTCAATGCATCATAAGCAAACATATTGCAGAACTTGATTGGAAGAGATCTACTCCAGCGACTATATTCATGGAATGAGTAAGGTGTCTGTGAATGGAGATTGCGTGGAAGGGAACGGGAAACAGTCGACCGGCTTGAAAGTGAAATGAAATTTATTTCAATGTAAAATAACTGGTAATTTGAATACCAATGTTTATTACTCTGTTAGCCTTCTCCGCCAGTTTCCTTGTCTGTAACCCCAGGCTCTGCAATCGGCCGTGGATCCGAACTGGTTGATCAGCGTTCGACAGAAACCAATCCAAATCTTCACTTCGAAGAACAAATTTCGGCATCAATTAGTCTCTCCCAGAGATCTTTCAGGATAACGGACAGTCAGGGGGTACCATGAACCATGCGCAACGATTCGATTCAGATCAGAGTCAATAGAACCTATCACAAACCATAGTACTAATAAAGGATGGCCAGGTCGTTCTCAAATACCTTGTCCGGGTTACCTCTCTAGAAAATTTTTTAGGCCGGTCTAGGTGCCAGTAGGGCAGACCGAACTAGACGATGATGTAATGTGTAGCTCAATTTATATGAATATGGAAATGATCAGCACTGGCACTTTGGATCGGGGCTCAGGGTTGTAATGAATGGGAGACCAGATCCTTAACGGCGCCTCTTTCGAGACTTCCCATCCTGCTCCTCAGATGAGCAGTACTTCGATCGTGAATACCGTCCCAGTCCCTGCCACGGTAACTGCGCACAACAATTTGTTCAAATTATGCTTCATCTTCTGATCTTTACTATTTGGATAGGCTGTTCTAACCTGATGACTCTTGAAGTGAACCCGGATAGGAGTATTGGAGATGCCGTTGTGTTATAGTCTGGATCACCTTTGCTGGGGAGGCTCTCGGGCACGAGCAGAGGACCCGACTACATTCCCGATTCGATTAATTGTCCACTGAGACGCATAATGCGAGTCCGGATCTTGCGGTGGTCATTACTCCTAAACATTATCCGTCGAACTTGCCAGGCCTTTATGGCCGAACAGTCAAACTAAGATGGTTCGTCAGAACGGCATCCCGTCGGCTGCCCATTTGCACCTCCGTACTGTTCCCTATAGTCCAAGTATTGTGGATTGTGCTGACTTGGTTCCCAATCACCAGATCTTTCGTTGGCTATGTCGGCTAATGGGAAAGTTTCACAGGACAATCACCTTTCGTTAGCCGGTCGGCCAACTTAGTCCTATAATTTAGCTGCATGAGCTCCTTGATAAATTAATTTGAGATCCTTCATAAATGGCTCTGTATCGCAAGTTCGAGAATATGCGGGGCAAGACAAAAGCACCAGCTAAAACGACAGGATGGATGGTTTCTCACTTGAAGCTGTTCTCGATGGGAAACTGAGAAGATATCTAAGGATAAGGACAATTCTGCCTTCGCTTAATGCTTACGAGCACAGGCAAGATTTGTCAGTAAACTCCCAAGGGAACGCCCAGCCATCTCCATGGACAATTCTCAATGCAACGCAACTTTTTAGGACTCCGGAAATATTGTATCTTTACTCAGTAGCAAGTCTTCTCCATGAGTAACTCATCCAGGTTTGCTCTAACAGCAACACCCCCACCCTCCCCCTCCCCCTTCGATTTTGCTCTTCTGTGTCCTAGTCATGATACAAGCCGAGATGTCCTGAATTACTCGATACCATGTATATTCAAAACGAGTTGGACAGGCATAATCGGCAATGTCTGCTGTCGCTGTACTCGAAATGATTGTTGATCATTTTTGCATTGAGTAATGGACTGACGTGGTCTGTGATGACCGAACAGCTTCATCTCCAAGAAAAGGGAAGTATTAGACTAATTCCGTCAGAGACTGTTCCAAAATTGTTAAAGAGTCGTGGTGCCGCAGTAAGGATTCTTTTCCGGCGAGCACGGACAGAATATTCATAAAAAAGGGATTTTTTTCATATTTCAGGGTAAATTAAATATGACAGGAGCACTGCTACTTCCTTCGCATTACGATGTGCTCAAGGCTGGTCTGGTGATCCTGATAGCTCACTCTGCATGACAGCCCTTTTTCGCTCGCCTTCTGAGCAACCCTTAACATCTTGACCGCAAATTTTCATGCCGGACACGAAGATGCCTATAATAAGTATAAGCTTACTAAGGCCATGATGCATGGCTGAGGTTATGTACTAGCATGAAAGCATAGTTATAGCGTGGAGTAACGTAATTTATTGCACTGCACGAAGCTATAGATCGGTTAAAAGATGCTAACCAGCTCTTCTTAAACTTGCTTGTGACTGTCACAATTCATGATCCTTGCTACACTCATGACATCCTCTTTCGTTTGTAAAAAGGTTCAATACAAACCTTATTCAATCGTAGAAGAGACGCAGAAACGTTGTATTGATCTGGTTGGACGAGAATGATCCATCTGCAACGTGAACCCCATGCGTTTTTTTTGCCGCATTATAAAACCGTAGGTGTGTCGGATCTTGCGACGGTCCCACTTCGACACCTAATCTCTTGAAAAGTATGCAAACTATACCTTTAATCACCAGTCGACTGACTCTCAGAAGGCACATCCCTGTCTTGACGGTAGGTCGCAGTTTATGACTGCTACGATTCAGGTGAATAAGACTCACATTTTCTATACCACTATAGCCCCGCTTTCA